AATAGTTATTAATATAATCCTCATCTTATGGATAATAAACCTAAGGCACAAAAAGATTAAAGGTGTAGTCTCAGTTTGAAAAGCTAAAGAAAAATCAAGGGTACTGATAGTGCTCCCTTAGAACCTGTATTCATAGACTAGAATTTAGGCAGCCCCACTTATCTTTGTATGTTATGTGCAAATATAAAACTCACTTCTGCATTCCCATATTCTAAAAGTATAGAATATGGGAATATAAGTATAGAATATTCTAAAAGTATAGTATATCTATTGGCTGTCAATAAGAAAACCAACTTTTAGAAAAAGCATCCCAGTATTGAGTCCTGTAGTGGTCACTGGCAAACTATGAAGATGAGTGTTTGATGGTAATATCTATAGGAATCAAATAGGTTATGAATTTGTCCAATGTTTGAAGCCAGAAATCATCAGCCCTGCCTTTTAATCACTGTGCCTGACCATAAAATGGGCAGATTTGACTAGAAAGATCATCCTTCCTCTTTTGTTTTTGGTTTGGGAAATATCAAAATTAAGAGACCCTGGGGTTGGAGATGTAGCTAAGTTGGTAGAGTTTGCCTAGTGTACATGAAGCGTTAGGTTTGATGTCCAGTACCCTGTAAATCATGTGTGGAGGCACACACATGCAGTCTCAGCACTTGGGAAGTGGAAGCCAGAGGATCAAAGGTCCAGCATCATCTTTGACTATATAGAGAGTTCAAGGGAAACCTAGGCTACATGAAATAAAAGTCTTAAATAAAGGAAAAGTGGGGTACTGATTTCCCCACTCCCCCATGTGGTCTGCTACCAAATCTATCTTCCGGTTCCTCTTGAATCCAGGGAAGAAGGGGGATGAACTGGTTCCATTCATTTGCACATTCAGTTGTTCTGTGTTTGATTCTATAATAGACATTGTGAAGTAGAAGGATATAACCAATACCTCCTACCCTCAGCAAGCATGAGCATGGGCAATATGTTCATATTACCAAATACAAATAGACAATAAGATTACAGAAATATGTCTACAGAATATCACACTTCCTTCTTCCATGCTGTTCCCGTTCCCTTTTTCCCTACCTTTCCTGGCAAAAGTGAGCAATTCCAAATGTCTCCAGAAAGTTAATTAAAGGGTGAAGTCTGGTGACTGTGGTGATTTCAATGAGAAATATCCCCCATAGGCTCACCTGTGTGAACACTTGATCCCCAGTTGGTGGTTGTCTTTGTTTCTTCATTGCTGTGACAAAACAGTCTGACCACTACCAACTTGGGGAGGAAAGGGTTTATTCAGCTTACATCTCCCAGGTCGTAGTTCATCAGGGAGCCCAAGGTAGGAACTCAGGGCAGGAACCTGGAAGCAGGGGCTGGAGCACAGGCCATGGAGGAATGCTGCTTACTGGCTTGCTCTCCTGGCCCCTACTCAGCCTGCTTTCTTATGGAACACAGGCCTACCTGCCCAAGGGTGGCACCACCCACAGGTGGGCTGGGCCCTCCCATATCACTCAACAATCAAGAAGATGCCCCTCAGACATGGCCACAGGCCAGTCCAATAGAGGTAATTCCCCAATTGAGGTTCCCTCAACTCAGGTGTGTCACGTTGACACTAAAGCTATCCAGGACAGTGGTGCTGTTTGGGAAGATTCTGGAAGATTTAGGAGGGGGAAGACTTGCTGCAGGAGGTGGTTTAATGTCCTTGCCACTGGGGGTAGGTTAACAACCTGGCCCACTTTCTGTTTCTCTCTGCTCTCTATGTGCAGATGAAATATGATCAGTTAGCTTCCTGCTTCTGCTGTCCTGTCTTCCCTACCATGGAGGACTATATCCCTTTGGAACTATAAGCCAAATAAACCCATTTTCCTTCTAAGTTATTTTTGCTCATGGTATTTGATCACAGCAACAGAAAAATAACAAATACAGTGATCTATGATAATGTATGCATAGCATAGACTAAGTAAATAAAAACCACAATGTTCTAACATCCATTAGAACCAAAAGGCTAACCTTCTGCTTTACCATAATTTGAGCACTTTCCAGGGAAAACATATGAAATCTGGTTTGCACTCGTTTAAGAACAGTCATCCTGCCTGAAATTAACACTCCTACCTTCTAATGCTATCAAGTCCATTTAGTATTACAGACCTTTGAGATTTATTTAACATTTGATGGAAACAAGTGTGTTATTTTGAATTGAATTTTTGTGCATTAAATACAGAACATCCCAGTCAATCTTAATCATCTTTATACTCCCTTCCCCACTGGCACCCACTCAGATATCCCCGAGTGAAGTTTATACATTCTGTCATTTCTTAAGGCCTTTTTGTGTTAAGTTAGTGTCCCCAATGTCCCTCGGTGTAAGTTCATTCAGTCAACCTATCTAGAGTTTCTTGTTTTAGGAAGATCAGATCTTCCTCACCCAGCAGTAATCAGTTGCCAATATTTCTTCTGCTAAGATTGGGTCAGCTGTCCATTTCCCCAGTACTATGCTGGGTTTTTGTTTATTGGAGTGTGCAGGCTGACACCATTGCTGTAGGTTCATAAGAGCAGTGTTCCAGGAGCTTGTAGGGCTCTATTTCCATATGGTCATGCACCTTCTCCCTGGCAATCACCTACAATCTTTCTGCCCCCTCTTCAACAATGGTCCCTGAGCCCTGGGTGGCTGTAGTTTAATATAGGAGTCCTGATCATGAACCAGCATTTTTCAGACTCTTAGTCTCTATACTTTGGCCATTGTGACCTTTTGAGTTCCTGGCCCACTGTTGCATGAGGGGGTTTCATTAATGAGAATTGAGATATTGATTATTGTCTTCTTTACCCCTTGTTCTATGTTCTGTGAGCCTTAGTTGAAAAGGTTGCATCGTAGATGTGCCACTTAGACTTCGGCAATTCACAGACAATGCCTCTGTGTGACCAGTTGTGGCACTCTGTAAGAGTCTCTGTCTGGTGCAAAAGAAGCTTTTATGATGAGTGGTGACTAGGATATTTGTCTATAAATATAAGGATACATATTTTTCACATAGTAAGAAATCATATCAGTTTAGGGATGTGACAATTTTGGGATTTTCTCTAAGATATATGACCTCTCCAGCCATGTGTATTTGGCTATGTTTACAGTTCCTCTCATTGTGTGGACTTTAAGTCCAATTAGGTAACTGTTGATTGCCCCCAAGGTAAAAGTGCCACTACTGCACCAATGTCATATGCTATGCAGGTCATTGATGTGGTTATTTAGTCCAGAAACTGGTGTTGACCCATCAATTGATGTTCTCCCTTAGCACTTTGCAGAGTGTTTTCCAAAGCAATGATAGCTAGCTTTCAGGGGAAGTGGACACTTCCTGATCAGTTTCAGCTCCATTACTTCAAATCTTGTGTCTGAAGTATGTTCTTTCTTCAGCATTACAGTCTTACCTTCAAGTTCTGGGAGGAAGTCAAAGGCTGTGGCAATAGCCTGTGTAATTTTTGAAGTCTCATGGGCTACCCTGGCCAACAACTCAATGAAAGGTTTCTCCTGACATTGTTTCTTGTTATGTAGCCTTTAGGACTCATTTAGAGATATATTTGTAATTTGTCATTAGGTTGTTGAACTAATATGTGGTTCCTCTGTGTTTTTTTTTACACTATCTAGTCATTATTTATCTTTCCTCTCTCCCTCTTGTGTTTAACCCTTCCACCATGACTTCCCCATTTAGAGTGTCCCGCTTTTCCCCATTTCTCCTTTGATAATATCAGTCTCCGATGGTCCCATTTCTATTGAGGCCCTTATTTTCCTTTATCCCCAAAATTCCTTATATAATCCTCCCTCCCACTTCCCATTTATTTATCCCCAAAGTTCCTTATATAATCCTCCCACCCACCTCCCATTTATTTTTTTTATTTATTATTTTTATTTTATGTGTATTTGTGTATTGCCTGCATGTGTGTAAGTGCACCCATGCTGTGCAATGCCTGTGGAGGACAGAAGAGGCTGTCGGATCCCGTGGAACTGGAGTTATGGACAGTTGTTAGCTGCCATGTGGGTACTGGGATTCAAACACAGGTCTTCTGCAAGAAGAACCAATGTTCTTAACCTCTGAGCTGTCTCTCCAGCCCCAAAAGAATATGGAAGGCTTGACCAAGTTGTGTGTGATCCTCGCACAGGGGTCATGCTAACCTTCTCTGTATGGTTCCAATTTTAGTATATGTGCTGCTGAAGCAAACATCCATTTCCCATTTAAATACCCCCAATTTTATTCATTTCTCCCTTAGTAGCACCTGTCTCCTACTCAGCTTCCCTTTCAGGTTCCTTCTTTCCCTTTACTTCCCTGATTCCTTTTCTTTATCCTGGTTCCTGCAGCTACATCAGGATATATACCCACATACAAGGATTTGATGCTAGGATCCACACATGAAGGAAAATATAACATTTGTTTTTTTTAGTCTGTGTTAGACCACTTAGTATAACAGTTTCTAGTTCCATCCATTTACCTGAACATTTCATGATTTCATCTTTGTTTACCACTGAGTAGAACTCCATTATATAAATGGATTGTACAAACATTTTCATTACCCACTCGTCAGTTGAGGGACACTTAGATTGCTTCCATCTCTTAGCTATTGTGAAAAGAGCAGCAACAAACATGGATGTACAAGTATCTCTGCAATAGGATGAGTTCTTTGGGTATAATCTAAGTAGCAGTATACCTGGGTCAAATGGTGGGTTCTAGTTTAGATTTTTAAGAGTTCTCCACACTGCTTTCCATAGGGGATGCATGAATTTGCAATCCCACCAGCAGTGAATGAGCATTCCCCTTTCTCCACATCCTCTCTAGCATTTGGTATCATTTGTTCTCCTGATCTTAGCCAGTCTGACTGGGGTAAGATGAAATCTTAAAGTGGTTTTAATTTGCATTTCCTTAATTACTAATGATGTTGAACACATTTTAAAAATGTTTCTTAGCCATCTTTATTTCTTCTTTTGAGAAAAAAAAAAAAGGACATCTTTGTTTAGATCCTTAGCCCATCTACTACTTGCTTTTTTGACTGTTTTTTGAGTTCTTTACAGATTTTTGTCCCACTCTGAGGGTTTCTCCATCAATTCCTTGGTTGTTTCTTTTTTCTTTCTTTTTTTTTTTTTTTTTTTTTTTTTTTTTTGGCCTTTTTTGAGACAGGGTCTCTCTGTAGCCCCAGCTGTCCTGGAACTCACTATGTAGACCAGGGTGGCCTTGAACTCACAGAGATTATAGGTGTGCACCACCATGCCTGGTGGTTGTTTCTTTTGATGTACAGAAGCTTTTTAGTTCAATGAGGTCTCACATGTTGATTCTTGACCTTCATTCCTGAGCAATTAATGTCTAGTTTAGAAAGTCCTTTCCTACACCTATATCTTGTAGGCTATTGCCAACATTTTCTTTTAACAGTTTCAGAGTTTCAGGTTTCTCACTGAGGTCTTTGATCCATTTGGAGTTGACTTTTGTGCAACCTGAGAAATAAGGATATAATTTCATTCTTCTATTGGTGGAGATCTAGTTTTGCCGGTACCATTTGTTGAAGATGCTGTCTTTCTTGCAGTATGTGTTCTTGGCACCTTTGTCAAATATCAGGTGGTTGAAATTATGTGTACTCACATTTGGATCTTCGATTATGTTCCATTGATCTCTGTGTCTATTTCTGAACCAGTACCATGCTGTTTTTATGACTATAGCTCTGTAGTATATTTTGAGATCTGGTATAGTAATCCCCTCAGCATTGCTCTTTGTCCTCAGGGTAGCTTTGCTTATCTGGGGTCTTTGGGGATTCCATATGAATTTTAGGCTAGTATTTCCTACTTTGGTGAAGAATGTCATGGGGATTTTAATTGGCATTTCATTGAATCTATAAATGGCTTTTTGTAGGATGGTCATTTCCACAGTACTAATTCTTCCAATCCATGAGCATGGGAGGTCCTTCCATCTTCTGGTGTCTTTCTCAATCTCTTCCTTTAAAGATTTATAATTTTCATCATAGAGGTCTTTAATGTGTTTGGTCAGGATTATTCTGAGATATTTTATTTTATTTTTGAGACTATTGTACTTTTTTTCCAATTCCTTGTTATTGGAATTGTAGATTAATTTTATAGCCTGCCACTTTACTGAAAGTGTCCATCATTTCTAGGAGTTTTCTGGTGGAATTTTTGGCATCTCTTAGCTATAATATCATCTGCAAAAGAGATAATTTGACCTCTTCCTTTCCAATTAGTACTCTTTTAATTTCCTTCTCCTGTCTTATTGCTATAGCAAGAGTTTCAAGAACTGTATTAAAAAGGACTGCAATTAATGAACAGCCTTGTTTGTTTCCTGATTTTAATGGGAATGCTTCCAGTTTTTTTTTCCATTTAGAATGATATTGGCTGTGGGTTTGTTGTATATAGCTTAATTACTTTGCGGCATGTTCCCTCCAGTTCATTTCCCTCTAGGAAATTTTGTCAAAGGCCTTCTCTTCATCTATTGAGATGACCATGTGGTTTTTGTCTTTGAGTCCATTAACATGATTTATGATATTTATTGACTTACAAATATTGAACCATCCCTGTATCTCTGGAATAAAGTTGACTTGATTATGGTGGATGATCTTTTTGAAGTGCATCTGTATGTGGTTTGCAACTATTTTGTTGAGAATTTTCCATCTATGTTGATGATATGGGTCTATAGTTTTCTTTGTTGGTTGTATCTTTACCTGGTTTTGCTATTAGAGTGATGCTGGCTTCATAGAAGGAATTTGAGAGTTCTCCCTCTGTTTCTTTTTCAATAACTTAAATAATATCGGTTGTAGATCTTCTTTAAATGTATGGTAGAATTCTGGTGTGAATCCATCTGGCCTGGCCTTTTTTTCAGTCAGGAAGTTTTGTTGTTGTTTTTGGTTTTTTAAAAAAATATTTTATTATTTATTTATTTATTTTTGGGGGGTCTTTTTTGAGACAGGGTCTCCCTGTAGCCCCAGCTGTCCTGGAACTCACTATGTAAACCAGGC